TGGATGCACTAAGGACATATTTATGGCAACAATGAGGTACTTCTTGGGACTGCCAACTATGTCTGAATGGCATACTCTTGCATAAGTGAAAGTATATTTCCAGGTGAGAGAAAATAAAGATCATCCTCTTCATTCAGTTTTAGATCAAGTATTAGACTTCAAAGAGGATAAATCATGGGTGGCAGCAGCTGAAAGAATTATAGCACAAGTCTGTAAGTTGGATGACATCAGGAAAGGCCCAGAATGGATAGAAATGCCAATGTAGATGGAGAAGTACACAGAAGTGGTTATAATGCTTGGCAAGTAATGCTGCAAGTGGGTTGCCACTGCCATTGGCACAAAGGTGAAGTCTAACATTGATCAAGTGTCCAAACCTGAAGATGCAGTGGCATATACAGATGGATCCATCTGCCATGGACAATGGTTAGGATGGGCATACACAGTACAAGTGAACTGGAAAACAATTCATGAAAACAGCAAGGCATACAATGTGACAACATCCAGCATAGCTGCAACCCACAATTGCAGTATTGGCAGCAGACTAACAGCATGCCGCAGAAAATATGAGCTGGAGGATGCAGAATGGATAAACTCGATTCCTAAAACTGGGCTCAAAAAGCTGACATGGGTGTTTTGTCCTGGTCATGCTATAGTGAAAGGGAATGAAAGAGCAGAAAAACTGGCCGGTGCTGCATTAGTGAAATCATCAACAACATGAAGAAGGCATGTAACAAAGAGGAATTCCACATTCTGAGTTACTTGGTCAAGAATGGAATCAAGTGGGAAAATGGTGGTTACAGCAGACTATGCAGCAAGCAACCAGCTGCTGATGTAAACCATCTTCTACACACACTGAGTTGGACACTGAAGAGGAAGGGAGAACAGATATGGGTGTGCCCAGAATGCAATGATGTTTATTCCACCAATAAATAATTTAAAAGTTGGCAGCCTAGAGAAACATGACCTTCTGTGTAGCTTTGTCATTAAGCCCATAGATGTACAGTCGAACCTCATTATAACAAAAACCAAGGGACTCAGCAAAATAATTCGTTATAACAGGAATTAAATATAACTGATTGGCTACAACAGGGCACTTTCATGAAAAACAAGCATGTCTTCCATGATTACAATGCCCCACAATTTGATTGCTTTTCACACATCATACATAATGCAAAAATAAGTGTAACACAAAAATTTTATTTACAACTAAAGAGGATTATTTACATCATCAATATGTTGAGACAGAATTATGTCACTGTACTTGAAAAGGCAAAATCTTACTTAATAAAGTTTGTAATTTTGGTTTGACGGTGACCTGAACATAGCATAGAAAACATCATGTCTTCAATCTGTGACAGTTGTGTAAAAATGATTGTATGAACATTTTCAAGAGATTGGAGGTTAATTGCATAACTTTACTAGGCAGTCCATGGCTTGTGAAATTGAAAGCACTTCTTCAGCAATGACAGGGAATAATGGAGTGTCTTCATCTGACTTGTCATTTTGTTGTTCCAATAAGGAAGCAATAATGTCATCATGAGATGGCAACTCATAAACTTCAGTTTCAATGTCTACACCCACAAAGTCCAAAAATGACATCTCAGGCAACTCAAAGTTTTGAGACATGACTTCTCAGAGATAGTCAACTTCTTCACTTTAGATCTCATTAGAAGTTGACCTGGAATTATTGTTTTCAGCACTAGCATCAACCTCTCCTTCCATGTTGAGACTAGCAGTATTCTGCACAGGAGCAAATGACACTTAGTAACTTTCTGCCACAATGAATGTAGCATATTGATTGTATCTTTGATGTTGATTATTGGTAGATTTTCTCCAGAATCTAGACACACCAGCATTTCCTGTACAACTATTTTTAGTAGAAGCTCTTTAAATTTCTGATCACACCCTGGTCCATCGGCTGCAGTTTTGGTGTTGTATTCAGTGGAAAAAATATGAGTTTTTATTGACTTTAGGTTTACTTCAGCTGGGTGAGATTGGCAATTGTCAACAAATGTGAGGGCTTTTCTGACATTTAAAATTCTTATCTTCTTTGTGTATCTAATCACTAAATAAATCACTATCCATCCATGCTTTTCTGTTTGCCTGATAATTGACAGGTAGAGAGTTCACATTCTTGAAACACTGCAGCTTCTTTGATTGTCCTATGATGAGTGGTGTCAGGTTTCCTGATCGATCCATATTTGCACACAACATCAAGGGGATTCTTTCTTTGCTTTTCTTTCTTCTCAAAAATATTTCATTTTTAGATGTTAAACTCTTATTAGGCATCAAACGAAAAATAACCCAGTTTCATCAGCATTAAAAATAACTCTTAGGGAATAGCTTTTGACTAACTAACATATCATTGCCAACAGCAGAAGCCTCACCACACACACTGAATTAAAGGTGATGCCATGCTGAGACTTGAATTTTTAAAGCCAACCATTGCTGGCTTTGAAGTCGGGATGATTCAATTTTTGTCCCAGTTCCCCGACTTTTCCTTGGAGAATGGTTCTGCTGATTGGAATATTCATCAAACGTACATTGGTTAACCATTTTAACAATGCTTGTTCAACACTGTTCACTGCTCAGAACTGAAAACATTTGCAGTTGGGTTTAATTTTGTTGTTTTCAAACATTTTCAAAATTGTAGATAGTGTACTGGGCTTCACGTCAAATTTTCTACAGAGATCACCATAATGAATACGGGACTCAACAGCTTTGATCATTTGGACTTTACAGTCAAACAATAGAGCACGCCACTTAGTAGGTATACAAATTGTTGACATCTTGAAAAATTGATGCATGAAGTACTGTTTTGTTGATGAAACTATTTCACACTTTATTCACAAATTTGCAGGAGTAATTTTGGCAATTACTAATCATGCTAAACCTGCAAAACATCCATTGTTAAAACGATGGATCCTAACATAGTTTCCAATTGGCTCATTGTATTAACAGTTTAAATGCTTACATTTCATGCTGATTCATGCCAAAGTGAAGTAATTAATCTATGTAGTCAGTCCTTTTATGGTTTCCCAGCTTGCATTGTAAAAGAAATGTTTGTTGTATGTGTGAAAAACCTATCGTTTTATTATAAAAATCAGTTCGCTGTAAATGGGGTTTCATAGTAACCAACTTACACAATGATGTCAATGGCAATTCAAAGGGACTTCGTATTATTGTTCGTTTTAAACGGTTTTTCTTTGTAACTGAGTTTGTATTAATGAGGTTTGACTGTAAATTGTAATTAGCAGTTTCATCTAATGATTTTATCTTTTCACTAGTTAGCACATAAACAACTTAAATTCTATGGACTGTATGCAAAAATCTTCAAATTATGCCCTGGAGAGTAAAAGTATTATAGACAAAAACTTGAATATTTTTGTTTTTGTAGAAGACTGGATCTGCGACTATTCATACTGTCTGCTGGTATGATTTTACCTGTACAGTAAATAGATTTCATGTTGTAACATGATGTGACTAAAACAGTGATGTTAAAATTTAGTGGCATCAGGTTTTGATGATAAGAAGAAAAAAAACTGCCAAAAGTTAGAAAATATACTTATGGCAAAACTCAGAAATGCTTTTAATATAACATATAAATACAAAATACACAGCATAATAATAAAGCTCTTTTAATAAGGAAAATATAAAATGCAGAATATATCAGAAAATACCTTTCAATACTGATGTGAACAAATAGAAGGCATAATGAAAGAATAACCCTTTATTATCTACTTGTTATATATAGACTAGAAAACCACTAATGATTCATCCTTCTTCCAGTCTACCTTTTTGTATATATAATTTATACATAACATAAGATAAAGTTAGGGCACAGCTTGAAAGAGTATTGAAGAAAATGTTTTACAAGTTTAACATAGTAACAAATGTATACTGTTTGGAGAAGGTTTTGTCATCATCAGGTACAAGAAGTTTACTTCAACAAAGGAATACATGTACACAGTATAAAACAAATAAATCACATGACTGGAGAGTGCTTACCAGCTTAGCAAAGGTATTTTAGAACCTTTTGTTTTACATTTTATGTAAACATATTTGGTAAAACACTTTTAGTTTTGCAAGGTATCCTTTTTTAAGACACTTTTAATTCTATAATTCTCAAGTACAAAAAAAGCTTTAAAGGCAACAGCTTCAGTGTTTTAAAGAAGACAATTTTCATTGCAATATGATTTTAAAGCAGATACTTTTAAAATCTTTATCAAAGGTAAGTTAAACATTTTTAGTTTTACGGTAAGTAAGTTTAAAGCTTGAGAAGATTTAGAAATGCCTATGACAATGGGTACACCTTAAAAATAGTATCAATGCATGTCAAAGCTGGTTGTCTGCACACTATAATACATTAAAACATGCACATAATTACATGCATGTGCAAAATATCTTGAATATATGATGAACAATAAATGTTCCCCTATCTAAACTAAATGAATTTGTTTCCCTGTAGATAAGCACAAAGCTACACAATGGAATATTTGTGCTATGCCCACCATGGGTATTAAAACCCAGTTTTTTAGTATTAAAAGCCTTAAGATTTACTGCTGATTCAATAGAAAGCAAACTACATGAGAAAAATACTGTGTGTTTCAAATGTTCCACTCTTATATGCTTCTAATTTCTCATCAATATTATCTACCAAGCAGAACTGAAAAACAACTTTCTTTCTAATCAAAACTTTATCATTTCTACGTAAGCATTATGTATTTGTTACTAATACAGGCAAGTCTTAATGATGTCAAAATTCAGTTTAAATTTAAAATATAAATTATTTCTATGTCACTGCTTATATCACAGAAATTAAAAATATAAATTAATTTTTATATTATTGCTTATCTCACATAAATTAAAATTTTTTGGGGCAATTAGTCTTTTTTTTTCTTCAGAAAACATGAAAGTTGTTGAAACATTAATAAAATAATCATAAATTTGTCAATACAAAACAAAATATAAATATAATAACTATGTTAAAATGCTCTTGCCTGAAAAGGAAATGGTTTATCATTAGTAACTCTGCCATAGTGATGGAGTCTTGCCTGGAGCAGTACTACTACAATTATAGGAGGAAATGGTTTAGGCCAGGTTTTCCATTGATTTGAAACTTCATCCAAACTTATAACTGGTTGAATGGGTATTTTTCTGTCAATATCTTGAAGATGAGGATCTAAGTATTACAAAAAAAAATTATGGAATAAGTTTAGCAAACCAACTAATAATTAATGCACAAATCTTTCTCATTTTTAATTTTTCATTTGTTGAAGTACATTTTGTTGAATTTAAATCATTACATAGATCTATATATATTTTATATTTAAGAAATATCTGTGAGAGACAATATAAATATTGAGTGCACTTGAAACAATGTAATTGTCTCTTGAATGAAATCAATCACAAGGTTAAATGTTAACGTGTCTCCTGATTAAGTATCAGCTTTCATCCAAATGCAATTACATGTATACCATAAAACCACAATGCAGCTTTTATTAATCAGAAAACTTGGCTATACCCTGCTTAAACTATCAAAACACTCAACACTGGTTACAGCTATAGATAAAAATTCACTGTCTGGATCAGACTTAAGTTTATGTGTTTTCTAATATGGTCCTGGATAGAATGAGATATCTTAAACACAAAAACTAAAAAATACTGTTCTTATCTTGAGAGGAAAGAACTAATAAGTAGAAAAGACAACATATGATTTATCACAACAGTCATTTGGAAATTTGAGTTTGTACATGACAGACAGTGGGATGAAGCCTGGAAAACAGGAAGATGTTTCTCAGACATGAAGATATTAATCAGTAAGTAAGGATATAAATATTAGGTCATCAAGAAATTAATGTTGCTTTTTTTAGATGAAAAAACCCAAACAACTTATATATCAAAACAAAACATTTATTAAATGAAATAGTCTCCATTCTTATCAATGATGCTTTTCCATCTTAAAATCAGGTTGTTAATGCCCTGATTATAGAAATCACTTGGCTATGAAGCAAAAACATGTCGATGTCTTCTTTAACACCTTATACATTTGCATACGTTTTCCCATTAAGATGGTGTTGCAGCGAACGAAGAAGAAGGTAATCTGATGATGCTATATCTGGAGAATATGGTGGGTGGGGGAGAACTTCCCAACCCAACTCCATAATTTTGTGTTGCGTCAAACGTGCCACATGTGGACGTGCATTGTCTTGGAGAAGAAGAACACCTTTCCGATTGACGAGTGAAGGTCGTTTCTTATGAAGGGCTTGATTTAAATATTCCAGTTGCAGACTATAGATCTCTGCCTTGACAGTTCCCTGTGGATTGAGGAGTACGAAATGAATTACTCCTTTGATGTCCCACCAAATGCAAAGCATCACTTTCCACGGATGGTTTTGGGGTTGGGAGTGGTTCTTGTCTAGGACTGAGCCATTGGTTTTGGCGTTTGATATTTGCATAGAGAGTCGATTTTTCATCACCAGTGACAATTCTATCCAAAAATGTTTCATGCATACTATGCGCTAGAAGAAACGAAGCAACGTTCACACGTTGGAAAAGATGATCATTGGAGAGTTTGTAAGGCACCCAAACACCTCCTTTATGGAGTTTTCCATTATTCCTTAAATGTTTACATATTGTTTCATGAGAGACAAGCAATTTCAGGGCTATTTCACGAGTGTGTTGCCTTGGGTTAGACTCAACAAGCATCTTCAGAGCATCAACATAAATTCCAACATGTCATTGACGATCACAAACATTCAAAACATTTCCATAAACTTCTTTGATATTCTTTGTGGCTACATAGGCATTGTTTCCCTTCTTGTATTCAAACAGCATAACACGCCAAATGTGTGTGTATCATCTGTGCCATCACTATTAGGGATTAGAGTAAACTAAACTTTACACATTATATAGGCTACACTATCATGACGTTTAGGCTGTTCGTTTAACTATTATACGTGATGTACGTTTGGGGGGGGGGGTAATGAAAGTGTCCCAAACACGACATTAATTTCTTGACGATGAGAAAAAATACTACTACTTAAGTTATAGCAAATAAGCTAAAGTTACATGAAAAGAAAAATAATACAGTTAACATTTTAAATTGCAAACACAAAAATATACAACGAAACTTATTGTAACACAAGTTGTCTTTACTACTACGGAAACATTATTAATGTAAAATTAATGTGTGGGAAACTGAATATGTGCTTGTTTGCATTCTGCACTTGTGATTTAAAAACTTTTATGACAACCTGAAAAGAGTTCAGGATATGTCACAGAGCATTATATACAAAATAACATAAGAAATGCTTAAAGAAACACATTTTTGAAAATACTAAGGGGCCTCTCTAATATAAAATATTCATGCCTTTACAATATGAATAATGCAATTAGAGCTGATTTTGGGCCCAAAATATCAAAAGTAATGTCTCTTTTGTGTTCTTTTCCTTAGCAATTTGCTTGAAATGGCAAATTTTATATTTTTTTGGAAATGTAGTGAGAGAACTGGGTATTTGAGAATGAGTGAAGACTGGCAAATGTGAAATTCCAAAACATACCCCCCTCTCCTCCAACACTACAGCTATTACTTGACTACCAGGGTTTCTTCCTTTGCCCATCTGAGCATTGGTTTGATTTTTTCTCACTTGCTCCAGTCTTTTATACCCCACTTAATTGCCCCTTTGTGATATTTGTCTTGTGACACTCCTCACCTATGTCAATGCACCCTCTATCCTGATACTGGATATAAGCACCTCATTCAGATAATGTTATCACTTTTTCTCAGCAAAGTTTTCACTAACACGTTTCTCTGTTTTACAATTGTTAGGAAATACTTTGAGAATTCCTTCTTTAACTTAGTTGATTTTTTTCATTTGACAATCTATATATACGCCATGAATTCCTAGATTATTATTTCTGGCATGTAGGCAAATAAGGTCTCTTCTATCCTACCTCTGATATCTAGAGTTGCTCAACAATCAGGGAGATGAATGGTCACCCTCGGCTGAGACTATCAGTGAGCTTATTACAGTGAGATGGAGACATATTCGGTTTGGTGGTGTTCCGCTGGGGAGGCTCTGAGGCTGCAACTGAGAGTGATCCTAGACATTCTGAAGATAATTTAGATTCACTTTTTCCTGTGACTTCTTTTTGTCTGTTGACTTTTCCATATCCAAGGGTTCTGCTATTCAGTTGGAATGCTGCTAGCGGTATTGTTGATTATTGTATGGTTTAAGGATCTGTGGGGGATCAGCTCCAAGAATTTCTGGACATGTGGTAAACCATAGCTATGTATGCATGGGTACTACAGGTCCTTGAGTCAGAATTAGTCATTCAGTTCATATCTTCCCCACCAAACCTGTACGGTTTCCGTTTCCCGCAGATACTCAGATTTCAGAACTTAGTTCTAGGGCTATCAGAGTTTGGTTGGTCTGGGGTAGAGAGAGAGAGTCATGTCAATTATTCTGGGGTTTTATTCCCATCAGTTTGTTGGGCCCAAGATGACAGGAGGTTCATGTCAAGTCCTCAATGTTTCTTGTCTATATCAATTCCTAGATTCTCCAATGTTCACAAGTAACTCATTCCTCACTCTGAGTTGGCTTTTTTTACTAGGATTGTGGATGTCCAAGTTCGATGTAGTTGGTTCCTACCTGCACATTGCTATAGTGGTGGCATTCCACCACTATCAGCATTTTTTATGCACAATGGTCAGGTACTGCAGTTTAGGGTTTTTACCTTCGGACTAGCATCGGCACCACATGGGTTCTGCCAAATCATATGAGAATTTTCTCGTTACCTCTATTCCTTAGCCCTGTGCACACACCATTTCCTGGACGACTGGATACTGCTGGTACAATATGGTCAATTGTCCAAATGTCACACTCAAATTCTACTTTCAGAAAAACCAAAGCATTATATTTTCATCATATATCTCAGTCACGCTCAGCCGACTCCCACCTGGCTTTACACTATGAAACAGGAAGCCCAACTCTTACTCACCTCTCCCACTGCACAGATGATTTTTTTCTCTCTTGAGAATGTGGGCATCGCTCAATTCTCTCGGGCCTTTGGGACAAGTGCACAAAAGATCCTTTCAATGGTCTTTATGTAATCAAGGGATCATAAACATTGAATCACTTTCCTTATTTTCCTTATTCAGGATCATTTTTCAATTTCGAGGATTTGTTAGATCGATAAAATACAAAGATATGGGTTCCTCTGCTGCCACCTCATCCAGAGATCCAACTCTTCATGAATGCCTCACTTCATGGATAGGGTGCATATCTCAACAGTCAGGAATTCCAGAGTATACACATGGAAGACGAGACACCCTACACAATGTTTTAGACTTTTTTTTGCTCTTTAAAAGGCAATGCCTCATGGTCTCGGCTTATTAAGGGTAAAATAATCAGGCTTCATTCTGACAATTCCATGGTGGTGTCTTGCATTTACCATCAAGGGGACATTTGATCCAGGGTTCCTTGCTTTTGAACCTTGAATCTCCTATCATGTCACCATAATAGCTTGTCATGTACCACAGGTGATGTCTTCAGTAGCAGATCAATTGTCTTGACCCACGCAGATTCTCCCAACAGAACAGATGACTGGAGGATTGGCAACTCTTGAAAACATCCAATTACTGGAAATTTGGCCTCCAGTACCTCACCTTCAGGCTTTGGCAATAGACAGGATGGGATCACAACTCTAGGCATTCTCTCCAATTCCCAAAGTACTAATTATGATTTGTTCCAACCCATGGTTGGGTCCTGTTGATAGCACCGGATTGGAAACTACACCCAATTTTCCGCTTCTGCAGTACCTTCAGGAGTGCCCACCTCTTCCACTTTGGCCATTTCTGTGGAGGCTGTCATGATCTGACACCTGAGCTTCAGGCATCGAGGTTTAATTTCTAAGGTTGCCATGTATCTGTCTCAGTCTTTGCTTATTCCCACAATGAACATTTATCAAAGAAAATGACACACTTTTTGACAATGGTGTATTTAGAGGAGGTTGAACCCAGTTCGATCAGAAGTGCCAACCATAACTCATTTTTGACCTGACTCTTTGGCTAGGGTTTTGCATTTTCCACAATCATCCTGTATCATGCAGTACTCAAGATATAAATTCTTTGAGTCCCCAGTACTCACTGGCTTCTTCAAGTTGCTTTGGGTCCTATTT